AACAGTCTGGGAGAAAAAAGAAAGAAAGAGAAAGGAAGGAAGGAAGGAAGAAAGAAGAAAAAGAAGCTAAAGAACCCACTCCGGGGAGAGTTCACTGAGGTCTGGGCATGAAGCACAGCAGGGCCTGTGGTACAAGCTTAGCTAGGGGGCTGGAGATGCAGGCCTGGCACGCAAGAGGGTCTGAGCTCAACCCCCTGCACTGTGTAAACTGGGTGTGGTGATGTTCTGTAATCCCAGCACTCAAAAAGGTAGAGGCCGGAAGCTCAATATCCCAAGAGCTTCCTTACCTACCCACCAAGTTTGGAAAAAAAGGATGGGGACTGTACTTAGGGTAGGTCAGCTGGGCATCTCCAACCACACAGTCAGTGGTGAAGGATGTAGACATGCGGTGGGATCACACAGACCCAGACTCAATACTAGCCACTTCCTTCCTTTAAGACGTATTCATTTTTATTTATTTTGTTTTGGTTTGGTTTTTTGAGACAGGGTCTCTCTGTATAGTTCTGATTGTCCTGGAGCTTGCTCGGTAGACCAGGCTGGCCTTGAACTCACAGAGAGCTCCACCCACCTCTGCTGGGATTAAAGACCTGCATCACCACTGCCCGGCTCATTTTATTCTTTGTGTGTATGAGTGTTTTCCCTGCATGTCTGTAAGTGTCAGATAACCTGAAACTGGAGTCGCACACGCTTGTGAGCCGTCCTGTGGATACTGGGGATTGAGTCTGGCTCTCCTCTGCAAGAGCAGCAAGTACTCTTGACCACTAAGCCATCTCTCCAGCCCCTGGCTGCTCTTGTTCGTGATGCCCCTAGAACCTCAATGTCACCATCTGTAAAAGGTGAGGGGTCCTCACAGATGGGGTGGTGCTTAGGGGCACAAGCCTTCTATATGCACCTGCTACATAGTAGCAGTCATGGTATGAGCTTCAAGGGTCCTGATGGACAGTAAGAAAACCCTTGCAGGTGAAGTGCTTTACACGCAGGAAGTGTACGGGTTGTAGCCCTGTGGGCATCATCTTTGTACCCACCCTACACACTCCCATGAATAGCACCCACTTGGCAATTGGCCTTTTCCATAGGCTTGGCAAAGTTGTGTGTCTGGCACAGAGCATGGAACCATCCCCCCTCCTGCTCTTTGGGGAGGCTGCCTTGACTTCAACTGTTTCATTGACCTTGCTGAGAACTCCCTCCCAGTAGGCTGGACTCTGGGAAGATTTCACTGAGGAGGCAGCTGCTGGGAACATAGAGACTGGTCATTCCAGCAGGCAAGGGGCACTGGTAAGGAGCGGCCTGCTGGAGGCAACATCTAAAAGATAACTAACTTTCAAGATTGACTTCTGTTTCCCAGCCATGACGTTGAGTGTTCCCAATTTACAGCTGTGGGGCAAGTTCAGAGAGGGGCAGAGGATCCCTGTGGGGGACTCCAGGTTTGGAGGTTCCTTTACAAAGCTTCCAGGATGTCCTCCACTCCCACAAAGTCCCAGCCTGTCCCTAGTACTTAGGAAGCTCCAAAGAGGGGTGGCCCACCTCTTAGGAGGAGAACTCTGTTAACGCCATCTTTAGGCAGCTGTCTGGGGTCCCTCAGAGCCTCTGGGAGGCATAGGACTCCCATTGTTCCAGCCCCCTCTTGTACCTGACTGGCCAAACCGGTTCTGGGGAAGGGGGGCGGGGAGCAGGCACGTCGAGACAGCCGCCTGCCTCTGCGAGGCTCCCTCACCTGGCCTCCCCCCTCCCTGCCCCACACAATACCCAGGAGCTTGCATTGCCCAGCATTGGAGCCATGCTGGCATGGTCCTCTGAGGACTTGGCTACAACCCCATTGCCCCCAGGGTGGCCTGGAGCCCTGGAGTGTACCAGCCGCTGGACAGAGGAGCTCCCTGGCTGAGGTAGGGCCCTGGGTCAGCAGCCCATCTCTGTTTGCTGTGTCCCGAGGGAGTGAGTCCTTTGTGCTGTACCGCCTGCCCCGCTGCTTCTGGCTTCAACCCGTTCTTGGCCTCCTGGGGCTCTGCTTGATTTGGAACCCCCTTTCCAGGCATGACCTCCTACTAGATTTTGTCCCTTAAGGAGCAAGGGATTCTGCCAGGGTCTCCGTTTCTCTGAGCAGGGAGCCAAGGGGTACTAAGAATGGAGGGGAAAGCTAGCTACTGGGGCCAAAGGTGCTGTCCCAGATGCAGCGGTGCCTAGGGATGCTAGACAGGCCTGGTGCCCTCTCTAACGAGTAGTGCCTTGCACAGATCACTCCTTGGCCTCTGCCAGTCCTTCTCAGCCTGCAGAGACACCAATGCAAAGGTTTCATAGAGGAGGCTTCTAGTGGACCTTAGGGTCGCTTGACACACAAGGATACCAAGGCTCAAGGAAGGGCTTACAATTTGCCTAAAGCCTCACAAACACAGGACCTTGATCCTGGTTTCCAGACTGACCCTTGCCTCACCAGAGCACTGGTTTGTCCTGGAAGCACATCTGGAGCCAGCCACCTGAAGCCAGCCCCCCTTAACAGGAAAGTGCTACACATTAGCAAACCCAGATCTGACCCAGATCACTGATATCAAGGCTGGGTGGGCTGAGTCCTGAAAAGCTACTGGACTGGCATTCCACCTTTTTGGCCAACCCATGGCCCCTGGGCACAGTGGAGGCCAACCCACCCTGCCACCCTGTTTTATCCTATATTCCAGAAAGCCCTGCACATTCCCTCAGCTCCCCCAGCCTTCTCTGAGGTCTTAATTGAAGATGCTCCTGCCTTAAGTTCCAATGTTTTGGTTATTTAGCCTTATAAGTCACAGAAAAGGGGCTCATTTCCTGCCCCCTAGGGGATTCTAGTGCGGGGTATATGTTCTTATGCTTAAAAGAGACCTGTGTAGTGGACAAAAGCTAACCGTGTCCCCTCCTACTGGCTGCTGGCCCAAGCCATCCCCTGCCAAAGACTGAGAAAATAACAACACTTGGGGGGCTGCCTATCGATGACAAGGCTCCCACCATGCCCTGTACCCGAGGCACTTCCTGTGCACTGCTGTTAATTCTTGTATTAGCTAGCAGTTAGGAAGTTGTTACCAGCTCTCCTCCTTTGCTGGCTGAGGAAACGAAGGTTCACAGTGACTTACCCAGATGGGCACTTAGATTTGAGGGGCAAAGGCTAAATGAGGGAGGAAGGGAGGGAGGGAGATACAGCTGCTGTTTTTGTTTGGGAAAGGGTCCCTGAGAACCAGCCAGCCTTTCCCTCAGGTCCCCCAAGCCAGGAGTACTGGGAGAAGCAGCTGGGGCTCCGTGGAGGTCCAGTGCTCTACAGTGTACCCAGATGCTGGCTCTGTTTCAGGCCAGCCGGGGATTACTGCCTCATCTCTTTTTACTGGGCCCTTGAGGGTTTTAGTCTTGCAACAGTGAGCTGGGACCTCCTCCAGGAAGCCTTCCTGGCATACTCATTGGGCTTGGCCCAGCCCCCTACTGTGTTAGTGCCTGTGGCTTGTTTCTTGCCAACTCAGATTATAACCGCTTTTGTTTTTTGGTTCTCCCACCAGACTGGCAACCCTACTGGGCATGAGCTGTTATTTGTTCATCTGTCTCCCTGTTTTTTATTTGTTTGTTTGTTTGCTCCCTGGACTGCCCATCTGCCTGAGCATCTGGAGCCGTGGAAATCCTCGGTTGTCTCAGGCTCTGGGCTTCAAGTGTCTTGGCCTCTGTGGTTTCTCTTCCTCGGTGTCTCAGAGTCGGTTCCGGAGCTGTTGTCTCCAAGGTCGATGTTTCTCTGGGTCTCCCTCTTGTTCCTACAGACTGGGCACTGCCCCTTTGGCCTGTGAGGCCTCTGCAGGGGTCCTTGCTGCCCAGACTGCCCACAACGCAGCCAAGCAAGTGTAGGCCCCCGCCCAGCCCCAGCCCGCTGCCTGCTCCCTCCCTCTCCTCGCCTCACCACAGGGTTTGATGAATCAAACCCTTTGTCTGGGTGGGATCTCCCCCAGCCAGCTGGGCAGAGAGAGGGCTTCCCCTGCCGGAGCAGGCAGGCAGCATCAGCAGCAGGCTTCGGTCTCTGCTGAGGAGGTGAGGGGCAAGAGGGAGGCCACAGAGGGCCCCAGGGCAGAGGCTGAAGGGGCTTGGACCTCTGGGCTCATCATCCTGTCCTGGGGTTGCTGGGCAGACTGCCTGGGGGATGGCGGTCTGCCCAGAACCGGCCCATTCTGCCTGGCTTGATCTAGTGTCTGGGATCTGGGATGGGGATAAGCCCCTCTGTCATCCCAAACTGGGGATTGGACATCTTCTTGCTCTTCTCTGGGAGGGACTAATCTGGGTGGTGGCCCGCCTGCCAGTCTGTGACCCTCCCAGCCAGCCTGGCAAGGGTGTAGGCATCACTCAGCATGAAGGCCTCGAGTCTGGGAATGGAAGGGGGTGGATAACCTCAGAACAAGGACATTGGGTCCCGTATGTATCTGAATCCTGGTGTGTGTGTGTGTGTGTGTGTGTGTGTGTGTGTGTGTCACTGAGAAAAAGTTTCTAAACCTGTGTAACAAAACAAAACAAAAAAGTATGTGAGTGTATATCTGCATTTGAGATGTCTTGAGTTATCTACAAAAGTACATGTACCAGAAGAAAAACTTGTGGCTGTGTGTTGGAACATGAATTTGTGCGACAACTTATGTTATCTATATGTCTGGTCACGTGTCACTGTGTGTTAGAGAATGTACAGAGGTGGCTAAAATGAAGATGTGGAAGCCTACATGGGAATCCTGGCTCTACCATTTGGTAGATAACCACATGTTTGCCTCACTCCCCTCACCTACAAAATGGGGGAAAGGCATTGGTTTTTGAAGGCTGCTGGAGATTAAATGAGATGTTGTGTGGGTGCTTACTTATTTACTAAGTACTGACCAATACGATTACTGAATGGGCATGTGGGTGTGTTTGTGTAGCTACGTACATGTGTACAAGAGGGATTGTCTGGGCCTCCAGCAATGGTGTCTCACAGGCCCTCCCTGTTGAACTATATCTGAGTCTGATCCCTTTTCCCACGGCAGGCCCAGGAGGGTGGCAGAGCAAAGGAGGAATGGACTGTGGGCCACCTGCAACCCTCCAGCCGCACCTGGCTGGACCACCTGGCTCTGCCCGCCGCCCAGTAGCAGTGTGCCAGCAGGAAAGCCTGTCCTTTGTGGAACTGCCCACCCTGCATCCTCCGAGCCCAGTGTGCGTGGACCTTTTTCCCATTGCTCCAGAGGAGCTGCAGGCTCCTGGCAGCCGTTGGTCCTTGGCAACCCCTGCCCCTCTCCAAGGACTGTTATGGCCACCATCCCCAGGAGGCCCAGATACCCATATCTCCACCAGTGGAGGAATGAGACCCAGCAGGGCTGGCAGCTGGCCCCACTGCCCTGGTGCCCAGCCCCCAACTCTGGTGGGACCCTGGAGCTCTCAACACATGCAGCCTCAGCGCAGGGCCAGCCACGGTGGCTCAGAGAAGAAGTCAGCCTGTGAGTCACCCTGGTGGGGGGTGGGCTTTTTGGGGCAGCTAAGGGAGGGACTGAGTGTCTCTTTTTGAACTCTTTAAACTTCAGAGTATCCCAAAAGACAGGACAAGTTTTAACGACAAGGGAAAGATGGCTCATAGGGTCCGAGTGACTTGCCAACATTACATAACCAGTTGGGCTGCCCCTGTTCCCTTTCCCTTGCTCTATGCAGTCACGACCTCTGCTGTCCCCGTTGCCCTGGGGATCTCATTTTGTTGCTCAGGGTCATGCCACCACAAGGAGGAAGATGAGACCTACTACAGTGGGTGACAATTGTTATCTTACCCCCATACCTAGGGCGCAAGATCCAAGTGTATCATAATGAAGAGGCCACTGGTGGCACCGAGATCCCCACGGGCCTTCTGGAGACTGGTCAGGCTGCACAAGAGCAGGCTCTGTGTGTGGAAGAGCCCAGGTCACAGGAGCTTTCTGGAAACACCAGAGGGGGCCTTGAGGCTCAGGAGCGAAGGAGATTCTCAGCCTCCGAACTTATGACAAGGCTGCACTCATCTCTGCGCCTGGGGCGCACGGCCAGCAGGGCTCTGACCTCAGGAATCACCCGGGAAGGTACCCAGCTATTATCCCGGGCACTGAGGGCAGCCTGAGCCTGGCGGGTAGGGCACAGCCTACCCACCCGTGTTAACAGCTTCAGGTGATCAGCCGGGTGCCCCACGTCGTTCCCTGGATCGCCCACTCCCAGCTCTTACTTTCTCTAGGGAAACTGCCTGTGAGGGATTCTCGAAGAGCAGAGATGAGGATGGACAGCGTGTCGCTGCCAGCACCTGTCGACCCAAATGAGGTCCATGGTGGTCTCCTGGAACCCAGGTACCCACCTCTCTCTTGGGGCTCGGGTTGGGGAGGGATTTAAAGAGGTCCTAACACTCTTTCCTAGGCTGGATACGCACGAAAAGCCTTCTCAGGATCCCAGCAGCGCCACCGAGCGGCGCCAGTCCCGCTTCCTCCTTAACTGTAGGTGCAAAGTCGCTGCGAGGGGGGTCAGGGGGGATGGGGCCGAGGCGTTGGAATCTGGGAAGCCTGTTTTGGGGGGAGTTGGGAGGTAGACGACAGTGTGCAAGGGGGAGAATTGCAGTACCAGTGTTTAGCAGGTGGGCTGGCATGCAATTAGCGTTTCTGGCATGGGTAAATGAGCTCCCCCCCACCCCGCCCAGCTGTCCTCTACCAGGAGTACAGCGACGTGGCCAGCGCGCGCGAGTTGCGACGGCAGCAGCGCGAGGAGGAGGGCCCCGGGGACGGGGCGGAGGGCGCGGAGGAGGGGCCCGGGCCACCGCGCGCCAACCTTTCCCCGAGCAGCTCCTTCCGCGCGCAGCGCTCGGCCCGAGGCTCCACCTTCTCGCTATGGCAGGATATCCCCGACGTGCGCGGCAGCGGCGTCCTGGCCACGCTGAGCCTGCGCGACTGCAAACTGCAGGAGGTGAAGGGCGGGGCTAGAGGCAGGAGATGGGGACCCACGGGGATTTAGGGGCTGTCCACGTGGAGAAGGGGTGGAGGTCCTGGAAAAAGACTCGGGAGCCCAGAGGGAAAGCCAGGAAAGGGGTTGGGTAGAGCGGAGCCTCGGATGCGGCGAGGTCAGAGCAGATGATGGGGACCCTAGGAAATTGAAGGGCTGTCAACTTGCAGGGTGGGCGGGAGGGAATCTATGAAGCCAAGAGAAAACCTGGGGGGGGGCGGGTCTAAAAAGGAGAGAGGAGCTTATGACAGGAGCTGGGCCAGAAGTAGTTGATCGGGCGACTTAGCTGGGTCCAAGGACTGTCAAAGCGGGGGTGGGGGTCGGGGGGGGGAAGGCTGAGAAGGTAAGGCTCCTAGAAGCCAGCTGGGAAGCCAAGAGAGGGATCGGAGGGGCGGGGCCTAGGGCGGGGCGGGGCCAAAGGCAGGTGATCAGGGACTTAGTAGGGGTGAGGCATTATCAACGAGGAGAGTAGGTGGGAAGACCCGGGAAAGTAAGGGTCCTGGAAGCCCTAAGTGGAAGCCAGGGGAGAGGGCGGGGTCAAAGGTAGATGCTGGGCGTAGCACTCCATGGGCACACTCTTGGGAAAGACTTAAAAGTAGCGGAGCTTGTCAGCTGGCAGCTTCGGGCACGCCCAGGCCGCACCTGGCGCCAGATTATCCGTAGGTCTGGGAAGGGACAGGGAAGTATGGAGGCTTCATCCTGTTGGGAGATTTGAGACCCTGATCCCCGGTGGCCCGACTTTGACCTTACCACCCTGACTCCACCCTCCCTTAGGCCAAATTTGAGCTGATCACCTCGGAGGCCTCCTACATCCATAGCCTGTCGGTGGCCGTAGGCCACTTCTTAGGCTCCATGGAGCTGAGCGAGTGTCTAGGGACTCAGGACAAGCAGTGGCTATTTTCCAAACTGCCCGAGGTCAAGAGCACCAGTGAGAGGTGAGGGAGTGACCTGGCCTGGCTAAGAGTGGGAACAGAGGCCTGGAGCGGCGCCGTCCTTGACCTTGGCTCCCCTGGCAGGTTTCTCCACGATCTGGAACAGCGTCTGGAAGCCGACGTGCTGGGCTTCAGCGTGTGCGATGTGGTTCTGCAGCATTGCCCTGCCTTCCGCCGGGTCTACCTGCCCTATGTCACCAACCAGGCCTACCAGGAGCGCACCTACCAGCGCCTGCTGTAGGAGGGGCTCTGCGATGGGGGGCGGGGCATGGGCAGGTGAAGGTGCAGAGGACTGGGTAGGCAGGCTCCCTCTGGGAGGCGAGGGCTTGGGGGGGGGTTCTATTCCTGGGATAAGTGAGACCCACTGCATGGGAGCAGGTATGCTGAGAGACCCACCTGTGACAGCACGTTCCTGCCCACTGTCCAGCCTAGAGAACCCCAAGTTCCCTGGCATCCTGGCTCGCCTAGAAGAGTCTCCTGTGTGCCAGCGGCTGCCTCTCACCTCCTTCCTCATCTTACCTTTCCAGAGGGTCACCCGCCTCAAGATGCTGGTGGAGGTAGCTCACTTCAGGAAGGGTGGGGAGGGAGAGGCTAGCCTACCACTGGTGGTTATATTTTTGTTGTTATATCAAGTTTGTCTTCCTTTTATTAACATATATTAATTATGCACAACAGGTTACAGTGACATTTCCATACATACATAGGTCATACTCAACTACCTTTTCCCTTGTGTCCCCTCCCACTGATCTCCTTCTTCTTCCCCAGGGAGCCCCCCCCCCCGCCATTCCCGTGTCTTTTCCATATGAGACCCAATGAGTTTCAATGGGGCGGCTTAAGGAACTCAAGTGAGGGGTTATTTGCAGGAACGTGGGTGCCTTACTAGTGACTACAGCACTCAAGAATGTGTCTCTCTCTCCCACCAGAACATCTTGAAGCGGACGGCTCCAGGCTCCCAAGACGAGGACATGGCCACCAAGGCCTTCAGTGCACTCAAGGAGGTGAGCTGGGGGGGGCAGAGCTGTGGGCTCCTGAGGGCCTCCTCTTCCCCTAGGGGGAGCCCAAATGACTCCCCATCCCATCCCCAGCTGGTTCAGGAATGCAACTCCAGTGTGCAGTCCATGAAGAGGACTGAGGAACTCATTCACCTGAGTAAGAAGATCCACTTCGAGGGCAAGGTAAGAGACAGCCCTTGCTTCACTCTTCCTCTGGGGGGAGGGGGCCTCTAGTCACTGCCCATGGCCTCCTTTCCCTGCTCTGGACTTGCCCAGTGCCCCCTGCCTCACCTGCCCTCCCCATTGTCTACCTCTTTCTCTAGATCTTTCCACTGATCTCACAGGCCCGCTGGCTGGTGCGGCACGGGGAGCTGGTGGAGTTGGCTCCCTTGCCCGCTGCGCCACCCGCCAAGCTGAAGCTGTCCAGCAAGGCCGTGTACCTTCACCTTTTCAATGACTGCTTGCTACTGTCCCGGAGGAAAGAGTGAGTGGGGAGGGAGAGGCCAGGGAGGTCGGAGACTTCGTTCTTCACCTACTGTGCAGGGGCTTGCCTCCTGGACCCGCAGAGCCTCCATCGATGCCAGGCTGAACCACAGGGTGTCCTGGGCCTTGGAGGCTCTGCAACAGGAGCAGTGAGGCAGGTCCATCTATCAGGCAGAGTTGAGGGGTAGACTGTGTCCTGGGGGCTTGTCACTGCTCTGAGCCTAGGGCAGTGACAGACCCGCAGCCAGGCTCAGCTCTGCCACAATCTTATGAAGGTAAGTAGCAAGCACCCGGGAGCTTCCCTGTGCTGGCACACTGCATGGACTGTTCCTGTCTATTCAGAAGATGCCTCCCTGGCAAGCAGGTCCCCTAGTCAGTCTCAAGGTCAGGGCCTTAGCAAGTAAAGGAGCCAGGAGATGGCCAGACACCAGCTTGTTACCCATTGTCCTGCTATGTCCTCCCCCCCCCCCACAGCTATGCTTTTACTAGTGAGCAGGATGAAGAGAAAGAGTTTGGGGGGCTTAAGACGGGAGAGGGGGGGCTGGAGAGATGGCTCAGAGGTAAAGAGCACTGTCTGCTCTTCCAGAGGTCCTGAGTCCAATTCCCAGCAACCACATGGTGACTCACAAACACCTGTAATGAGATCTGGTGCCCTCTTCTGGCCTGCAGGAATACATGTATGCAGAATAAATAAATCTTTAAAAAAAAAGACTGGAGGAGGGTGAAAGGGCAGACATCTTTTAAACTTTTTTTAAATTTGATTTTATTTGTGTGTGCATGTGTGACACCACGGTGCACATATGGAGGTCAGAGGATAAAGAGCAGGGGTCATTTCTCTTCTTCTATCGTGTGGGTCTTGGGGATCAAACTCAGGTCACCAGGGTTGGTCCAGTCTGTAAAGTGTCCCTGTATAGCTGTGCTACACTGGCTGTGTGTTGCATGCTGAGACATAAACGGGAATGAGATTTGTTCTCTGTCCACCCAAGGCCAGTAGACACACATCTTCATAACCACGTCACTGGTTTTTTATGTTTTTGTTTGTCGTTGTTTTTGCTGAGCACTTTAGTCTTGAGACAGAGTCTTGCTAAGTAACTCTTGACTGGCCTGGGACTCACTATGTAGAGTGGGCTTGCCTGCCTCTGCCTCCTGAGTGCTGCAGTTACAAGCGTGGGCTACCATTTGGTTGTTTTTGTTTGTCTTAATTATGTGTGTCTGTGTGGATCTGATATGAGCAGGTGCCGCCAAAGGCTAACTCCTGGAGCTGGAGTTACAGGCGGCTGTGGGCAGGGGTGCATGTGAACCCTCTACAGGAGCAATATGTATCCTAACTGCCAAGCTGCCCTTCCAGCCCGCCTGGGTTTTAATGGGAGGATTTGCTTAGGTGGGATGAGTAAAATAACCACAGGAGGAGATATTGGGGCTTATTTGGTTGTTTGTTTTATTTTGGTTTTGAGACAAGATTTCTCTGTGTAGCCACAGCTGTCCTGCAACTCTCTCTGTAGATCTGGCTGACATCAATCTCAGATCCACTTGCCTCTGCCCCTACCGAGTGCTGGGATTTATTATTATTATTATTATTATTATTATTATATTGTTATTAAGATTTATTGTGTGTGTATGGATGTTTTGCCTACATGTATGTCTGTGTACTGCCATGTTTATGCAATATCCAAGAGTCTAAAAGGGCATCAGATCCCCTAGAACTGGAATTACTGATAGTTGTGAGTTGCCGTGTGTGTGTGTGTGTGTGTGTGTGTGTGTGTGTGTGTGTGTGTGTGTGTTTTGGGTTCGGTTCTGAGCCCATCACCTCGGAAGAGCAACAGGTGCTCTTAACCACTGAGCCATCTCTCCAGCCCTCGGGCTGTGTTTTGAAGAGTAAGAGTTTTGTGTTGAGAAGTGGTTTGGAAAAGACAAAAAAGTTGTTGCAGAACAGAGTGTGCCTGGGGGATGGAGAAGTCAGGCTGGGGACTGGAGGAGAAAGTAGAATGCCAGGATGGTGGCACATACCCTTAGTCCTGGCACTCAGGAGGCAGAGACAGAGATGGACAGCAGCCTGTACATATCAAGTTTCAGGCAACAAGGGCTCTGTAGTGAGAGCCTGTCTACAAACAAGCAAGTAAATCCAAGAGAAGGGCAAGAAAAGGAAGAGGAGGTGTTGAGGTCATGTTAAAAGCTGGGTTTGTTCTCAGGGTGTGGGGGGATGTGGGGGTGGGATGTGCAGAGCATCGGCATTCTGCCTCTGGCAGTTTGGATGGTGATGGTGGGAGGGACCAGAAACTCTTAGACAGGTAAGCATAAATGGCCAAGAGGTGGCAGGTGCTTTAGGACGGGAACGGGAGGGCAGAGGAGGGACCTGCTCTCCCTAGTGTTGTATGGGGGGAGGTGGACGTGTTGGTGGGTCCTCCTACCCAGCGCAGTGTTGCAGGAGGAGAGCTGTGCTAGGGTAACAAGCCCAGGGCCCCATCCTGCCTCCTAGCCTCTTCCCCCAGAGACCCAGCAGCTCCTGGTTCTGACTTCAGGTGAGAGAAGCAGCTTCTGCTGTCTTGGTGCAAGCCACATGGGAGTCCGGCCGGAGCCAGGGAAGGGTCTAGAAAGACACTGAGACTGTATCTGGGGTGGGGCCTGGCCTCTGTTACCTTCTGCCTGCAGAGACCCAGGCAGTTGAACTCACAGCAATCCTCCTGCCTTAGCACCCTGCGCTCTGTTTGGATGCCCTGACTGGAGCCTTACTAGTTATGAGGAAATGGTTCCCAGTGAGGCCAGGCCTGGAAGAGCAAATGACCCTTCCTCCTTTCTGCTTTCATCAGCTCACCTGGCCCTGGGGAAGCCCCGAGGGCAGGACCTGGGCTCTGTTGACCCTCTCTTCCCTGTTGGCATCTGTCCTCCAGGCTCGGGAAGTTTGCTGTTTTCGTCCATGCCAATATGGCTGAGCTGCAGGTTCGAGACCTGAGCCTGAAGCTGCAGGGCATCCCAGGTCACGTGTTCCTGCTCCGGCTGCTGCACGGGCAGCATGCCAGGCACCAGCTACTCTTGAGAGCACGAACTGAGTAAGCACTCCAAACCCTGAGCGAGGGTCCTGCTGAACCCCATGGGCAGAGAACAAGGTTGGATGGCCAGAGCAGTGCCTGAATTCTGGCAGGTGGCACCGGCCCCTGTGCCCTTCTGTCAGGGAGGTGGCATGAGGCTGCAGTAGCCAGAGTTGGCATGCAGAAGCAGCGTGGGTGGGGACGCAGGCCTGGAGATCTGCATATAGCCCAGGATGTTTGGGTTCCCAACTCCCCTCTGGGCCACTGTACATTGCCTGTTACGATCGTACCTCCCTCCCTGTAGAAGTGAGAAGCAACGGTGGATCTCAGCCTTGCGTCCATCCAGCCCCCAGGAGGACAAGCAGGTCATCTGTGATGGAGAAGGTAGGACCCAGAACCCTCTAGGGTGGCTCTGGTGACCACTAGGGGCTGGGCAGGGTGCACAGGCTCACCCCATATGAGTAGGCAGCCCATCTTGCAGATTATGAAAAAGAGATTCATAGAGGATAAGAGCTTCATCCAGGTTCTCCTGGCTAGACAGAGCTGGGTCTGGAGCCCGTTGTCTGTCTGTTTGTCTGTCTGTATCAGGCAGGCCTGGTGTGTAGAGAATGTGTGTGGGTTAGAACGATGGTGGTAGCAGGGTGAACATGTGTTCATTTGGGATGGAGGCAGCTCCCTTGGGTGTGATATGAGGCTAGCAAGCCAGGCTACATCTAGCTGGAGAGGATCTTGGCAGTGGGTAGTGGGTAGCCATGGAAGGTGGTTGAGAAGGGGCACAGGGTTGGGTTATAGGTCTGGGAGGGGGAAACGGGGAGACATACTTCAGCACATACCTGCTGTGAGTCAGGCCAGGGACTGAACTCTGTAATTTCACCCATTTTATTTAATCCGCATAGCGATCCTGTTAGCTAGATTCACTGTCTTCATTTTTTCACACACCTCTGAAAGCTGAGGTTCAGAAAAGTTAAGTACTTTGCCCAAGGTCACAGAGCCAGCAGCTGGCAGAGCTGTGGATGGAGCCAGGTCTGGCCTCCCTCCCTCCCTCCCTTCTTGCCTTTCTGAGACGGCCTTGCTATGTAGCCCAGGCTGGCCTTGAATTTGTAGCAAACCTTCTGCCTCAGTTTCCCTATGCACTGGTATTACAAAGATGAGCCGCCACTCCCAGCTCAAACTTGTTGCAATGTCCCTGCCCCTCTGCTCTGTCACAGAGAACTGAAATGACACAGATTCTCTGGCTTGGGCTTGGAGTCCCGCTAAGGCTGAGGACACGCCCCCTACTCCAGACAGATGGTCAACAGGCCCCTGGAAAATGGCCCTGAAGCTGGGAGAGGGTCTCCTGGCAGAAGGCCCTGAGGCAAAAGGGACCCCAGGAGCCCCATGTGACAGGAACTGAGAGGGAAGAGGGAGGGAGAGGAAGTGAGCTGAGTGTACAATGTCAGCGCATGAAGCCTGTGGTTTTGTTTTGGGTTTTTTTGTTGTTGTTGTTGTTTTGTTTTTTTTTTTTTTTTTTTTCTTGGTTTTTTTTCGAGACAGGGTTTCTCTGTGGTTTTGGAAGCTTGTCCTGGAACTAGTTCTTATAGACCAGGCTGGTCTCGAACTCACAGAGATCTGCCTGCCTCCCGAGTGCTAGGACTAAAGGCGTGAGCCACCACTACCCGGCGAAGCCTGCCCATCTTGAGAGGTCTTTGGATTTGAACTTTAGGCTCCCAGAGAACTGTCCAGGGGCACGTGCTGGGCACCTGGGGTTTGTGTGAGAGTTTAGAGGTCAACACAGTGACCTGCAGTGAGCTGGGGAGGTCAGTGCCCTTGACCAAGAGCCTCAGCTTAGGGCGCCTCAAGCCCAGGACGGGCCGAGGAGCAAGTGTGGCCCCTCCCCTATTGTCTTCTTCCTGCTGCCTCTCACCTCTGACCTGGGGACTCCTGGACCCTCTTTTGGCTCTCAGACTGCCCCCAGGTCCAATGTGTGAGGACCTACAAGGCTCTGCAGCCGGATGAGTTGACCTTGGAGAAGACAGACATCCTGGCCGTGAAGACCTGGACCAGTGATGGTGAGAGCCAGGCCTTCCCAACAGCCCTTTTGAGGGGCAGGAGGAGGAGGGGCGGTGACCAACCTGTCACAGGGGAAGGTTATGCAAATGGTGACCAACCACAGCATTTGGGAATCTGGTCAGACCAGAGGAAGAACTTCCTGCTGGAGAATGGAGAGTCATGGGGAAAGTGGGAAATACCTTTCTCAGAGAGGTTGGGTCCTTCCTGGGAGCTGGTGGTGCTATGGTAATGTCACCTGGCCCCAGGCGGCATCGGACCCAGTTGTTCCTTCCCAGGCCTGCCCAGCATCCCTTCGATGCCACTGATACTGACTGCTGTGTTCCTAGGCTGGCTGGAGGGTGTGCGCCTGGCCGATGGTGAGAAGGGGTGGGTGCCACAGGCCCACGTGGAGGAGATCAGCAGCCTCAGCGCTCGACTTCGAAACCTCCGAGAGAACAAGAGAGTCACCAATGCCAGCAGCAAGCTGGGGGACCCGCCTGCCTGATGCTCCCCTGAGGCCCAGCTGGGTCCACTCCCATGCTGGGAGCTTCTGTGTGTCTGGGGGCTTCTCTGTAGGCGCTGGGTGGTAACAGTTCTGTAAACACACCCTGGCTGCCTCTGCTTGATGTCTGATCCCAGGGCCTTTGCACTGGCTCCTCTGCCTGGAGAGCCCTGCCCCATCACGAGGGTGCTGGCTGTTATCACCCTCAACTGTCTCTAGGTGTCCTGAGGGCAGAGGGACTGTGTGTCAACCGGCTACTTTCCCCTCCAAGTAGCAAAGTGTCAGATCCAAGCGGGCTTGAGTATTAAAGAGACTCCATGAGTTTTTGTAGTTGCCTCTTGGCTTGTGCTAAGAAAACACCATCCACTGGGGGCCTTGAAACTCTCCCGCTGCTGCTCAAGAGGCCAGGCTGGGCTGAGCTCCAGGTGGAGGTGGTGCTGGGCCCCAGCAGGGTCTCAGGAGAATGCTCTGTGCCTGGTGGTTGGCCAGTGAACTGTACTTTGCAGCCATGTCCCAGTATGTCATATCCCCATGACCCACTTCATGTCCTCATCTGCCTCCTGTTGTAAGCCTATGGCTTCGTCTGAAGTCCACCTAGACCATCTCAATCACAATCTTGGCAAAACCATCTACTAACACACTTCTCCTATGTTCTTCTGTTTAAAAACCTTTTTTAAAAGATTTATTTATTTATTTATTTTGGTTTGGTTTGGGTTTTGAGACAGGGTTTTTCTGTGTGGCCCTGGTGGGCTCCCCTGCTCTCCACTGGGCCCCGTGACTTCGAGTTGCCTGGCGCGGGCAGTCCGGGTGCGTTGGCCATACGCGCCATCCCTATCCATCCTGTCACTTCCCTGTCTGCTGGACTTGGAGTCTCAGTTTTCCCTTGTTTTTTTTTTTTCATGACCTGGGTAATTTTGAGGCATTTGGGTTGGTATTTTCTAGACGATCCTGCAATTTGGGTGTATCTGATGTTTTTCTCATGACGAAGCAGGAGTTATTGTGGCTTTGGGTAAGAACACCACAGAGGTAAACAGAGTCCTCAGCTCATGAAGTCAGGAGGCGCGTGACAGACGCATGGCTCACCACAGGGTTGATTTTTCTTTCTTTCCTCACCACTCCTTCTCTTTTTTAGCATGGTAGCCCAGGCTAGCCTCAAACTCCAGGGCAATCCTCATACCTCTTCTTCCCTTCCCAAGTGGTGTCATGACAGAGATGAGCCTCCAAATCCAGATGCTGTTGATTAAAAAAAAAGAAGTTTCAGAGAGAGAGAGTCTCTTTAGAGGAGCCTAATCCTCCTGCCTCTACCTCCTGAGGGCTCGAATAACAGACACATGCCGTCACACGCCACGTTCAGAAACCATTTGGGGAGAAGATGCTAGAAATGTTTGACTCTTCCTCCTCCTCTCCCTCTCTCGCCTTCCCTTCTTTCTAGGACTGCAGATGGAACCCAGAACCCCACACAAACCTGGCAAAACCTGTAGCATTGGTCTAGACCCAAAGCCTCTCCTGGATCAGGTGTCCCCAAGTATCATTTGTGTTCCTTCACCATGAAGGTCCACCCTACACCTCATTCAGCCTGTCAGCCTGTCCTGTCTGTCACCATGGATTCCTTATTCTTTGGACTGTGACCCATTATCACAGTGTTTACTTTCCCTCGACTTGTTCTAGCTAGCTGGGTGTGGCCATGCACACCTATAATCCCAGCATTCCCCTAGAAGGGTGAGGGGCTCAGTCAGGAGGATGGCAGCTGAGGAGGCCAGCCTGAGCTATATAGTAAAGCCCTACTATGTGAAGAAAGGTGGGGTGTTAGGGCTGGGGAGGGACATAACTTAGTCAGTGGAGCACTTGCCCTGAGCTGGATCCCTGTATTCCATAAAGCAGGGGGGATGGTGTCTGCAATCCCAACACTCAGAGACGGAGGGGACAAGGAATTTAAGGCCACTCTTGGCCACACTCTGATTCAAGGCCAGCCATGGGCTGTAGGAGAGCCCCTAACCTTGAGCTCTCAGGGGTTGGACTGTCTCCCATGCGCATTCCCTCAGGCACCACGGGCTCTTTCCAAAGCAAAGTGTGTTCATTGCTGCTGAGGCACTATGGCCTCTGGGCCTCAGACAGAGAGGAAATTCATCGATACATTAACACATATCAATATATTTTAATTCATTTATCAGGAGGGTCTGTGTGTGTCACTGCGCCTGTGTGGGGGTCAGAGGGGATCCAAGGAGTCAGTCCTCCCCTTCCACCTGTGGGTTCCAGGGATTGATCTCGGGTCACCAGGCTGGGTGGCAAGCACCTTTATCTGCTGGGCTAACTTGCTGGCCCAAATTCATAAATTTTACACCCACATACCATGAATCTATGGAGGCTTCTTGCTTGAGCTGCAGACAGGGTTGACAGTGACAACACTAGAGCCCAGAGGGATAAAGTTGGTGCCTGCAACAGGCTGTGCTCTGGACGATGATACCGACAAGCAATGGCAGTTTTGTGCTTGGAGCTTCTGGCCAAAGCACAGGGCTTCCTTCCCTCCAGCCCCTGAGGACTCCAGTCACTCCGGCCAAGAGTGTGCATCCTGAGTGAAGTGTGGACCAGGCCCTGAGATCCTCCAGTGCCGAGTGTTGCTGCACAGGGGCAGCCAAGGCTGGCACCTCCCACAGATGAGAGCAGGAAGCTGCGCATGCTGCTGTATGAATAATTCCAGATCTCATTCAGGCGGAGCTCTGTGAGTTCTCAGCCAGCCTGGTCTCCTTAGTGAGTACCATGCCAGCCAAAGCCACACAGTGAGAACCTGCGTTCAAAAGCAAAGGGCAATGTGGGCAGCGGTGGCGCACACCTTTAACCCCAGCACTGGAGAGGCAGATCAGAGGCAGGTGGATCTCTGTGAGTTTGAGGCCAGCCTGGTCTACCAGACAAGTACCAAACCAAAGAACAACAAAGCCCAAAAAACAAAAACAAAGGAGGAAAAAAAAGCCCAGAGGAAGGCTGCTCCCTGGCACATCTGAACCCCTCTGGCAGAGGATCCAGGCTACATACTGGGAGCCAGGGCTGATCTGGCACACGCAGCCAGGCAGCAATTGATGTTGCAGAAGACCTCCAAGCATCCCATGCCCCACTCTCCACCTGCCCCCTCCAGGCAAAAATCACAGGGTGCACCTCTCTCTGAGATGCCTGCCTCTGCCCAGGAGGCCCTGACCTGGCAACCAGCCTTGGCCTTGGACTGAGGGCCCTGCCTCTGCTTGCTGCAGAAGGAGGTGCACTGGCTGTCTGCAGGACAGGACATGGGAGGGCACGGTGGGGCAGAGGTCTGGCTCCCGCACTCTGTCCAGCTGGTCTCCAGGCCCTGGCCCTCAGAAGCTGGCTTCAAAGACGGCTGGAACTTCCTCTCCACCAGTTTCACTAGTACCTGCTGGCCTATCCAGTCCCATCCCCGTCCCCCTCACTCCCACCCCCCACCCCATCACCAAACCCAGCCCACTGTTCCGAAGGCTGCTGGAAAGACCCTCACTAAAATTAGAGTTCAGCTCACATATTTAGCACACAGGAGGCCCCGGATTCCATCTCTGCTCTGCACCCAAACAATGGCAGTAAGGGACATGGGACATGTAAAACTGTCCATTTTGGCTGGCATGGTTGTGCACACCTGTAGTCCCAGCACTCGGGAGGGAAAGACGGGAAGATTGTCCCTCTAGTGAGTTCCAGGTCAGCCAAGACTACACAGATCCTACCTCAAAAATCATATATACTAGCAGGCAAGGGAGATAAGTGGCTCAGTGACAGGAGGGGACCAGTTTGGGTCTCAGCACCCATGTCCTGTGACCCACAATACCTGTGTGGTGGTTTGAGTGAGAATGCCTCCTGTAGGTGTATCTGTTGCGTAGGTTTAAGTTGTGTGGCTCTGCTTGTGTGTCACTGGGGTTGGACTTTGAGTTTTCAAACCGTGCACCATTTCCAATGTGTGCTCTCTCTGGCTTGTGTTTGAGGTTTATCCACAGCATCTACTCCAGCCACCATGCCTGCTGCCACCTCTGTTCCATTATCGTGGATTCTAACCCTCTGGAACCATAAGACCCAAATAAATCCTATTTTTCTCTCTCTCTGTCTCTAAGATTTTTTATATGATGTAGACAGTGTTCTGTCTGCATGTATGTCTGCTGGCCAGAAGAGGGCACCAGATCTCATTACAGATGGTTGTGAGCCACCATATGGTTGCTGGGAATTGAACTCGGGGCCTCTGGAAGAGCAGCCAGTGCTCTTAACCTCTGAGCCATCTCTCCAGCCCCACTTCTCTAAGGCGCCTTGGTCATGGCGTTTTACATCACAGCAATAGAAAAGTAACTGAAGTGACCTGTAACTCCAGCTCCAGAGGATCTGACGCCCTCTGCTGGCCTTTGTTGGCACCTGCACTCGTGTGCACATACCCATACACATGCACACACTCATACACACACATAAATAAATGAAAATTATAAAACAAATCTTTAGGGGAAAAGTGAAAAACAGGGCTAGCAAGATGGTTCAGTTATTAAAAGGCACTTGCTGCCAAGTCTGGTGACAAGTTCTGCGTCCAGGACCCCCCACATGACAGAATGAAGGGCTGACTCCTTCCTGTAAGCTGTCCTGTGTCTTCCATACATGTACACACACAAATGAGAAAGAAATTAATTAAAGCAATAATGTTTACATTGAAAAACCTGGGCTGGGGATGTGTGTGTAACACCTTACTCCAAGACTGAGACTTCCCATCCTACAGGGGAGATCTTTAAACGGGGAAGGTAAAAACAAAAGCAGCTGGGCGGTGGTGCCACACACCTTTAATCCCAGCGCTTGGGAAGTAGAAGCAGGTGGATCTCTGTGAGTTTGAGAACAGCCTGGTCTACAGAATGAGTTCCAGGACAGCCAGGGCTATTAAATAAAGAAACTATGTCTTGAAAAACAAAAATAGGGCTGGAGAGTTGGCTCAGGGGTTAAGAGCAGTTTCAGAGGTTCTGAGTTCAATTCTTAGCAACCACGTGGTGGCTCACAACCATCTGTAATGAGATCTGGTGCCCTCTTCTGGCCTGCAGGAACACATGCAGGCAGAACACTGTATACATAACAAACAAACAAACAAATAAACAAAGAGTTCCGAACAGGCTCTAAAGCTAT